CTTAGCTAAGGAGGGTGCCATGCCTCTGTTATGCCATACGCTGACGCCACAGAACAAAAGGTGAGGGTCCATCAGCCCCCACAACCAGTGTTTGCCAGTCTTGGTGCACAGATGGATCAGCCTGTTGCTTATGCTGTCTGGGCCGCTCACACATTCATTCAGCAGTACTCAGAGGTTAAACATTCCAACTCCTCTCCCTTGACAGTGGTCCTGACTAATGAGACGTGATCAATCTTTCTTGCTTTGGTTGAGCAAGACTGACAGACTCTGGGTTGCCCTTGGGATTCTTACTAGAATCAGGCAGGCAGGGAGGCAGATAAACAGATAGACAGAGGGATCTTATGTGAGTCACTCAAGCAGGTAGCCAGGAATCCTCCTCCAGATCTCCAAGCTGACTAGAGAAATCGCAAAGGCGTGCCTTCCTGTGGGGACCTGGTAAGGTCCTTGCGCTGTCCACAGGGCCATGCTCAGTGACCAAAGAGGTCAGCACGGTTAGTCTTCCCTGCTGACACACCAGATGCAATGGCCAGCAAAAACTCTGAAATGACAGCCAGGATTTGGAGGCAGATTGATGTGACATCAGATGGGCACTGACTAAGGATAATCCCTCAAAATGTCAGGACTCAGAGGTGAAGGGAGGGAGGTGTTTATGAGGTTGCAGTGGTGGTAGAGAGGCACAGCACTTGGCTGTCTTTGATCAGTTCTTACAATATGCATCACGGTGACCAGCCGTTTCTAAGAGACTAAAGCAACTGGAACTGGGACAAGAATTGTCACCAAGGCAACTGAAGTATACTGGATGGGCTGGCATTTTTTGCTACAGTTTCTCCAAAGAAGCTATAACAGCAGCCTATAAGCACAAGAACAGATGCTCAGCTTCATTTTTCCCAGGGAAATGAAGGTTAAAGAGGCAGCGGTCTGCTGTAGCAGCGTACGCACATAATCCCAGCCACCCTCAGGAGGCCCTTCTTTCAAAGCGCCAGGGATGTAGCTTGAGAGCCGAGCGCTGCCTAGAGCAAGCAAGTGCCCAGGTTCAATTCCCAGTGCTGAAAAGAGATGAGAGAAACACTTACCTCTGCAGAATTCCCCATGCAATGGCAGGTGAAGACAACGTCCCCTCGTGCACATAGAACATTCCCCAAGGAAAAAAACATATCCGGGATGACAGCAGGTCACAGTGTACTTAAAGTCACGCAAAATGTATTCTCAAGTCATATTAAAAGTGAAGTACGGGGCTGGGGAGATGGCTCAGTGGAATAAGCGCTTGCCTGGCAAGCACAAGGGCCTGAGTTCAATCCCTGGTTCCGCAAAAAAAAAAAAAAAAAAAAAAAAAGTGAAGTACGCTTGAGAGGCTAAAAACAAGAGGATCACTATGAGTCTGATCTGTGTAGTGAGACTCTGTAGACCCTGTACTAAATACATTTTTAAAAATGAAGTAGGGGGCTTGTCCATTAGCTCAGTTGTTTAAGTGCCTGCTTAAGCAAAGCAGTCAGGCTCAGGATGCTGTGGTTCGATCCCCAGATCCTCATGCCTTACCAGACCTGCCCTTAAGACATCCTGAGCCAGCCCCCTGCCTGCCTGTCAAAAAAAGTGAAGTAAAACTCACTAGGCATGGTGACACATGCCTACAATAGCAGTACTTGGAAGGCTGGGGCAGGAGGATTGCCATGAGTTTGAAGCCAGCCCAGACTACATACCAAGACACTATCTCAAAAAAAAAAGTAAAGTAAAAATCAATAGCTGAAATATAACTGGAAAACCTCCAACTGAGGCATGGTAGCACATGCCTATAATCTTATAACTGGGGAGTCTAAGGCAGGAGGATTACTCTAAATTGGAGCTCACCGTGGTATACATAGTAAGTTCAAGGGCAGCCTTAACTACATAGTGAGACCCTATCTCAAAAATCTAGAAAATTTTCAAGGTAAACAACATACTTCCCAATCACCCAACCATCAAAGAACTCAAGTAAATTAGAAAATATCTTTACCTTGTTGGGGACCACAGATTATACTCGTCTGAGGTCATCCTTGGCCCGGCATGTACAGCACACATGGAGATTCCCCGATTGCCTCCAGTCACAGCTGAAGATCTCCAGCTCGTGAGGCTGTGGCGCTTACAGAAGGAGGACAAGGGCCTTCAAAGCAATGAAGTGGTGGCAGGAAGTTCCGCCTGGGGAAACTGCAGTGTCCGTAGCAGCCCTTGCTCATCCTTGCAGAAAGCTCTGTTCCTCTCACCAGCCCACACAATCACCACACTCCTCTAAGAAAAGCACCTCACTCCCTCTAAAATGTTTATATTGTGTGCAATCCATGGTGGCCCCATCGAAGAGGCCTTGTCTCTGTCCATCCTGTGTCACCCTTGACATTACTAAATCGTCCATCTCTTATTTCAGCCTCCTCTGTACCCCTCACACAGCAGGTGGGGATCTTGCCCAGGTCCCCAGCATTACCTAACAGAAATAAAAAAGCACCGTAGCAAACGTGTGAGGCTGACAGCAGTGCTTAACGGGATCTTTATAAGAAAGTCAACATTTTGACCCTTACTTCAAAAAGCTTCCACCCCCCCAGCTCCACCTACATCCTCACTGAGGAGTGGCAGGTGGTCTGCACTCCTGACTGCAAGAAACCCAGGAGTTGTCCCGAATTCGTTGCCCTTCATATTCCCTTTCCTGTGTTGTCTCCTCCGTATCTCGTTATGCATCCCCACTTGGCCTGGACTCCCTGGCAATCTTCCTGCCTCAACCTCCCAGAACTGGGATGACTGGTGTGTGCCACCACGCCCAACTCAATCCTTTTCATTATAATCTGAAGCGTATCACCCTCTGGTGGCTTCCCATTGCACAGAGACTGCAGCTGAAGCCTCATGAGGCCCACAGAGCCCCAGGACACACCTCTGGACTCTCTAGCCAGTTCCCTAACTGCCTTCTTCTTGCTGCCCCACCATCAGGCACCAAATCACACCCATGCCCTCTCTCCACCCCTCCCTCCCAGGGACACTGTCCTGGGGGCCCCATGGCTGACATTTTCTTTTGTTTAGATATTTTCTCAGACATCTTCTGGGCTGGGCATGCCTGCAAGGAGCACCAGGTGGGTGCTGAGCTCACTCCTGGGGATTCCCCTCCCAGGGTCCAAGCTAGCCAAGAGTCTAGGGAAGAACTCGATTGTTTTGCCTGGGTCATGCAACAAACCTTGGTCAATGGAGCAAGGTCAAGGGCTAGCTGTGTCTATGATTGACAGCCCTTCCTAGAACCTGGAGGTTAAAGAGGGAAGCGGCAACCCAGGTTCAGCTCCCAATCAAAGAAGGGAATGGGTGCTGGAAGGAACACCCAGAGGGTAGTCCTGGGCCTCTAAGTCCTGCCCATCATCTCCTGGATCCCAGCCTAGGCTGGCTCATCTGTCACAGCTGCAGGACACACGAGGTCTCAGTCTTTTGCTGAGAGCCCTGGGTGATGGGGGCCATGTGGGAATCTGCAGGACAGAGCCAGGAGAGACACTGAGGGGCAGCCTCCTCCCTGCCTGCACCACTAGTGATCCCTCGAAGGGGGTTGGAACAAAGGCTTGAGGACCACTGCCCAGGAGAGCCAGTCCTGTGCTTCACTCTGTAAGGCTCCATCACCTCCTTGGTATAAACAGGATCAATCTCAGGCTTCAGCTGGACAGCAAGGGGCTCCCTGACCTCTGACTGCTCAGCAGCTCAGGCTCCAGGGCCAGTGGCAGCTGCCCTACACCTCATGGGTGGATGGGCACCCTATGGCCTCCCAGGCCTCCTCAGGCAGCTGTTCCTTCTGCTGTACTCCCCACTTGGGAACAGAGAGGGCTGGAGATTGCAGCAGGGAGCAGGCAGGAGGCACCAACAGAGAATACCTCAGCACTGAGAGAGGCTGAGATGGGAGCTGGGCTAGGGCCGCTCTTCCTGCTGCCCTGCAAGCTCCAGAGGAGACAGTGACCTGATGGGGCTGGGGCTGCACTGTACTGCTCAGGGCAGCACTGAGGTGTGAGACCACCCGGCTTTGTCCCCACTGGGGCTTTTGCAGTTGAGTCTGCAGAACCCTGGTTGCTATTGGAAATGGTGATGTCACTGGCAGGGGCGGAGCTTCAGCTGTCTTTTGAGTTGGGGACAGTAAGGAGGAGGAGGGAGGCACCGGGAGGGCCTGGGCTCACTAGTAGAAGGGCTGCAGAGGGCAGAGGAGGGGAAGGACCCACGGTACTGAGCCTTTGGCTGCCTAATATCCAGCTCCATCCGGGCTGCGTCCCTCTGGTCTTGGTGTCTTCCTAGCCAGTTTTGAGCCCCAGGCGCTCCTATGCGTGGAGAACCACCCTCACCCCTGCTGTTCCTACCCTCGGGGTGAGGAAGGTCCAAGTCCAGTGGCCAAGCAGCTGCGGTCTCTCACACTTGGGAGTCTCGCGGAAGGGGAGCCTCAGCGCCCCCTCCTCCCAGCGGAACCATAGTGTAGGGCGTCTCCACACCCCTGGATCTCCTTCAGGGAAGAGTTGGTTCCAAAATACCACTGGCTGTGGGTAAGGACGCGTGCACGCGCGCGCAAAGCACGACACGCATTCCCTCACGCGGACACCGTGGGCACTGGTGCCGTAGTAATAAGGACCTCAAAACTCCGCCCCAACTCAGCTCGGATGGGCCGAGACAGCACATGTCGCTCGCTTTGCCAGGACCCCTACAGGCCCGCGCGCGCACGTGCACACGCGCGGGCGCCCCCGATCGCGCTGACGCAGGCGCGCGCCCCCTCGCTCCGCGTCGGGAAGCGGGGGGCGGGGGA